TGGGGGATTGAACCGCGGTCCCTGATGCTTTGCTAAGCTTGTTCTAAGTAGGTGCTTTAGACCACTGAGCCATCTCACCAGCCCCCGGAGTGAACTCTTGTTATATTGATTACTGAAAGTAAGGTCTTTTTTTTTTTTTTTTTTTTGCTTCTTATGCTAGGGATTGAATGTAGAGCCTAGCATATGCTAGGCAGGTGCTGCATAACTGAGCTACACCTCCAAGCACCTTTTTTTTTTTTTTTGCAGAACTGGTGATTAAACTCAGGCCCTTGTCGCATATTCTACATAGCCATCTCGCCAGCCCCCCAAGTACCTAATGGCACTCCTTTCCTTTTTTATTTGAAAGTCTGTTTTTCCCTTTTCTTTCTTTCTTTCTTTCTTTCTTTCTTTCTTTCTTTCTTTCTTTCTTTCTTTCTTTTTTTTTTTTTCAGAACCGGGGATTGAACTCAGGCCCTTGTGCTTGCCAGGGAAGCACTTATTCCACTGAGCCATCTCCCTGGCCCTTCTTTTCTTCTCCTTTCTTTTCTTTTCTTTTGTGAGCACTGTGGATGGTATTAATCCCAGAGTTCTCTTTTAAGTTACATACATAGATGTTTTGCTAAGTTGCTGAGACTGGACTCAAAAATAGGGTCCTTCTGCCTCAGCCTTCTGAGAGCTGGAATCTCAGGCATGCACCGTCGTATCTGACTGGTTTTCCCTTTTTGAAAAAGACTGGTTTGCACTTTGAAAGGTGTCACTGAAGAGCAGCTACTCTGTGGGTGTGATTTTCCTGTGTTCACTTTTATATATATGTATTTTTTTCTTTTTTGCCAAGTTAGCTGAGACCAGAATGGGGGTGCATGGTGGAGATGCTGGAGGGATGTGGGGCTGGCTGGTGGTTGTGTGCCTGCCTGGCTCTTGGGTGGATAGCTCTGGTGGGCTGAGGGAGGGCAGCAGGTTTGTTTGGGGAACATGACGGTCAGTTCTGTGCTTTAATTCTGTCTGACTTGGCTTCTTAGACGTGGGAGACCCGCTACATGCTTTTACTGTGGCTCTCTATGACCTGCTTGATCCCTTTCGACCTTTCACGCCTTGATGGGAACTTGAGCACCGAGGTGGGGCAGGCCCAGAAGCCCATCATGGACCGCATTCTGCAGATAGCAGAGGTGAGCGTGGCTGTGTATGTGACCTGCTGTTATTGATGTCTTCTTTCACAATAAATGCTGTTAATGCTGTCCTGAAGTTTGAGTGTAAGCTTTTGATATTTGGGTAGGCTTTTGGTAGTTAGTTGTTTCTTTAACTGCTAGTATTTTTCAGTGAGGCAAAATTCCACCTAAACTTTTTTTGAAATTGTGATAGCTCAGAGGTCAGGTTTATGTTGGCAAACATTTCTTTATAGATGATGCATGTATTCTGTTAAGCATTAGAACTTATGCCATGTTTAGTGGTAATGGTAAAAGAAATTAAGGAATCATTTTATGTCTGATTTTCAATATATAGTCTGACTTTCATATATAGTCATTATAGGAAATTTAGAATAAAGATAAGAATAGTAATTGAAACCTATCAAATTTTCGTAGTCCTACTTGCTTGTCAGTGACAAAGCTCGAGATGCGGCTGCTGTCCTGGTGTCTAGGTAAGTCCAGTGGGACCCTAGGGTTTTGCCTCACTTAGGAGTGCAGATGAGCCTTTCCCAGGTCCCCCGTGTGTCACTGTGTGGACAGATGGCTGCTTCCCCATGTCTCCACTTGTGGTGTGGCATGGCTTTGTCATGTCCCTGTGCAGTGGGGAGTTGGGAGCTGGCTGAGCTGTCCTTTTAGTACCTTTACCTGGAACAGGGTGCAGGGTGTACAGCTGAGTGGTGGGGCCCAAGGGTGGAGGGTGGAGCCTCGTGTCCTGGGCCGTCCAGGCTTTTCTTGGGACAGCTCCTCCGAGAGGAGAATTCTGCATGGGTGCTCCTGGTTCAGCCAGGGCTCACGTGAGATAGCCTTCGCTTTGTAAGTATGAGCCCCCGTGCCTTCATGTCCAGGGCTGTGTCCTGTCTGTGGTGGGCACTGGACCCTTTTCTCTGCTATATACCTTTTCCCACCCTACTGCCATGCAGACTACCCTGCATGTTGGGCAGCTGACCTTCTAGCCACAGTCCTTCTTGAGCCTTGTAAATTTTTTTTTATTGGTATATTTTAGATATACATAATGATAACATTCATCATACAGAATTTGTGCCTGTACATTATACGTCTTGCTTATTGTTTTTCCTCATCCTCCTCTTCCCCTTCAACTCCTTCCTGTCATTTAAAAAGCTTTGTTTCCATGTTTTTCCTTTTCTTTTATCCCTTCCTTCCTTTTCCCCTACCCCTTCCCTTGTTCCCCTTCTCATTTGAACATTTTCTTCCCATTTCCCAATATCTATTATATATTTTGATTCTTACTTACACTTTTGGTTCCTCACACCAGAGAAACTGTAGTATTTTGATGTGTGTTGGTTTTATTTCACTTCAGAGTATGGTCTCGAGGAGCATCCAGTTAGATATGAATATCCCGAGCTTATCCTTCTTTGTGGGAGAGCAGTACTCCATTGTATAAAACCATTTTTATCCATTCGTTGGTTGATGGGCATTACAAACTGTGCTGCTATAGATATGCGTGTCATACATTGCTGTGCTGTGATGCTTTTCGGGAAGATACCAAGAAGAGGAATAGCTGGGTCAAGTGTGACTTCTAGTACTTATTTTTTGAGGAGTCTTCACATTGATTTCCATAGTGGTTGCCCCAGGCTACATTCCCACCAACAGTAGAGAATTCCTTTTTCCCCACAGCCCATCTAGCATTCGTTATTGGTTTATTTCTTGATAATAGCTATTCTTTCTGGACTGAGATGAATCTCAGTGTTGTTTTAGTTTTGTGGCTCTCCAGTGACCGGTGATGTTGAACATTTTTTCATGTATTTATTTGCTGTTTGTACTTTATCTGAGAATTGTGTATGTATCTCAGATGGCCATTTTTGGATCGGGTCTTTAAATTGGTGAGGGTCTGATTTTTTTCAATGCCTTATATATTCTAGATTAGTCCTTTTTCTTTTTTTATTATTTATTTATTTAGTTTTGGAATTTTAGGGAAAGGTCTACAAGGGTGTTCAGGATCTCACACTAGATCGGACTCATAGTGATCCACCTGTTTACAGCCTCCCAGGAGCTGGGATTATAGGCGCACACCACTAGATTAGTCCTTTTTCTTTCTTTTTTTTAAAAATTGATTTTATTAGATTACTCCTTTTTTTGAGGAACAATTGGTTAAAAAATTTTCCCACTCTGAGTTGTCCCTTTACTCTGTTGATCATTTCTTTTGCTGGGCAGAAGCTTTTGCTTTTTAATAGGGTGAGATTCTAGGTATTGATCCTTTGTAATAGCTCCCGCGTGATTGACTTTTTTGTTCTTTGCTTACACTTTGTCTTTTTTATTTTTTATTTGGCAGAACCAGGGATTGAACTCATGCCCTTGTGCTTGCCAGGGAAGCGCTTATTCCACTGAGCCATCTCCCTGGCCCCTACACTTATGTCTTTAATAAGAGTTCTACCTGTTTTTATTTTTATTTATTTTTTTTAATGTCTGCCTGCCTGCCTATCTGTCTGTCTGTCTGTCTACTACAGGGTTTCGCTATGCAGCTCAGACTTGTAGTAATCCTCCTGTCTCAGCCTCCCCAGCTCTGGGATTATAGGTGTGTAACCCTGTCTGGTTTTGGTGGCCGGCACTGTGTGCTTTTGGTTCCAGGGCCAGAACGGCATGTGGTACTGGGGGATCAAGCCCAAGTCCTTGTGCTTGCCAGGCAGGCACTGAGACATCTGAGCTATCTCCCCAGCCCAAGTTCTACCTATTTTATCTTCTAGCAGATTTACTCTTTCTTTCTTAACATTTAGATCTTTGATTCATTTTGATTATAGTTAATGATGGTGAAAGATAATGGGTCTAGTTTTAATCTTTAGCATGTGGAAAGCCAGTTTCTTCCAGCACCATTCTTTTTTTTTCCCCAGTACTGAGAATTGAATTCATGACCTCATGCTTGCCAGGCAGTTGTGTCACTTAGCTAACTCCATGGCAGCTAAATCTGTGGCTCCAGCACCATTCGTTAAATAGTTTCTTTCAGTGAAAATATTTGGCTTCTTTGACAAAGATAAGATGGCTGAGTATGTTTGGAGTTGTTTCTACATCTTCAGATCTGTTTGATTGATCCTTGGGTCTTTTATTTTTGCCAGTACCATGGTGTTTTTTTCTTTTCTTTCTTTTTTTAATCGTAGTAGATTTGTAGTATAACCTGAAGTCAGGGATTATGATGCCCCCTACCTTGCCTTTGTTGCCCAGACTTGCTCTTGCTATTCCAGATCTCTTCTGGTTCCAAATTAATTTTAAAATTATTTTCTCTAATCTTGTGAGACATGTTATTGATATTTTGATTGGAATTGGATTAAATCTGTATAACAGTTTTGAAAGTGTGACCATTTTAATTGTATTGTTTTTTTTCTACCCAAGAACAAAGGATATCGTTCCATTTTTTGATGTTCTCTTCAACTTCCTTTTTCTGAGTACTGTAGTTTTCAATGTAGAGGTATTTTACATCCTCCATTAGATTGATTCCTAGGTATTTCATTCTTTTGGATATTATCATGGAAGGTGTTGTTTACTGAATTTCTCGGTTTGTTATTTGTGTATAAGAATGCTAGTGATTTTTGAGTGTTGACTTTGTATCCAGTACTGAATTTTGGAGTTTTCTATGTAGAATATCTTGTCATCCACAAATAGTTTAACTTCTTCCTTTCTTATCCTTGTTTTTTCTCTTGTCTAATTGCCTTGGTTAACGTTTCCAGAGCTATATTGATTTTGTTCTTAATTTTTTTTTTTTTTTTTGGTCCTTTTATGAGACAGGGTCTCATTGTGCAGTTCAAGTTGGCCTTGAATTCACTTTGTAGCTTAGGCTGGTCTCAGACTTGCTTTGATCCTCCTGCTTCAGCCTCCCAAATGTTGGGATTACAGGTGTGTGCTGCCATGTCCAGCTTCTAGAACAATACTGAATAAGTGTGATGACAGTGGATATCCTTGTCTTGTTCTTGATTATAGAGTGAAAGCTTTCAGTTTTTGTCTATTTATTTAGTACTGGGAATTGAACTTAGGGCATCATGCTTGCCAGGTAGGTGCTGTGCTGCTGAGCCACTGAGCTACATCCTCAGCCTAGTTTTTGTCCATTTAGTATGATGTTGGCTGTTGGTTTGTCGTAGATGGTTTATCATATTGAGATAAAAATCATCTATTCCATTTTTCTGTAGGGTTTTTTTTTTATCATGAATGGGTGTTGGATTTTGTCTAACACTTTTTGTGCATTTATTGAAATGATCTTTTTTTTTTTTGCAGGACTGGGGATTGAACTCAGGCCCTTGTGCTTGCCAGGGAAGTGCTTATTCTATTGAGCCATCTCCTTGGCCCGATCATATGTTTTTTAATTAATTAATTAATTTTTGGTGGCCAGCTCAGCGTGCCTTGGGGGCGGGGCTGGTGGGGCATGTGGTCCTGGGGATCAAACCGTGGTCCCTGCACTTTGCCTAAGCTTGCCTAAGTAGGCATATTAAACTGCTGAGCTATCTTGCCCCAATTATATGATTTTTGTCCTTGACTAATAGGGTGTACTACATTTATCAATTTGTGTATGTTGAACCATCCCTATATCCTTGGGATGAATCCTGCTTGGTCATGGTGTATAGTCTTAATGATTTGTTGCATTGTGTTTGCCAGTATCTTACTGAGGATTTTTGCATCTGTGTTTATTAGGGGGATTGGCTTGTTCTCTTTCTTAGTTGTGTCCGCCAAGTTTTGGTATCAGGGTAATGCTTGCTTCTGGGATTGAATTTGGGAGTATTACTTCCTTTTCAAAGAGTTTGAGAAGTATAGTATTAGGTCTTCTCTAAAATTCTTGTGGAATTCAGCAGTGACTGTATCAGGCCCTGGCTTTTCTTTGTTGGTAGGGTTTTTTTTGGTATCAAGTATTAAACTCAGGACCTTGTGCTTGCCAGGCAGGTGCTGTACCTCTAAGGTATATCCCCACTTTTGTTGGTAGGTTTTTAGTTGCATCTTTGATTCCATTGACTGATACTGGTTTTAGAATTTTTATATCTTTTGATTTAGCTTTGATAACGGAAACTGCCTATTCTGTGTTTTCTGTCTTCTAGTGGTAGGAATAAGTGATCTTTTGGAGTTCTTCTACAGGGCGTTTTATTCTTTTTTTTTTTTTTTTTTTTTTTTTTCCTGAAACCCCTTCCAGTGTGTTCCTCTTTATTCATTTTCCAAGTACAAACTTGAACTTGGATAGGCTGAGTTAACCCAACCCACCTCTGGCAGGTACACTCAACATGCTGTATAAAGTATAACATTCAATTTATTACTTCTTTCTCAAGAGAGTTTTCTTCAGTCCATTAAGACTCAGCTCCGCTGACATGGGCTTTGGTGGAGGCCGAGGGGCAGCACCAGCAGGTCTAAATCGGGGTGGAGGAGTTCGGTCCTTACGGGCTTCACGAGATAGATTTCTGACCACTTTGCTATGAATGGCACAACTCACACAGTAATGCAGCTTCACATACAGCTTGGGAAGCAC